ATCAGTTTATAGTAGAGAAATAAAAATATAACGTGTTCATTAGTTGATTGGGTTTAATTGAACAGTTTCGCAGCATAAAGTAATAGTCGGACAAAAACAGATAGAAATATTAAAAAGTCTATATTTAATTATTTTCAATGTTTCGGCTTATGACTCTTATAATATTGATAATTATAATAATTAACTTTCTATTCGAGTTGAATTTGTGTCCTGATTTGAAATCACGAACTTAGGTTAATTGACTTTTTAAATTGCAACGCCGCCATGGCTCTGTGGCGTTTTGTTTTCTACGAATAAAGCGATTTATTCGTTACCCCATAGAAATAGATTCCGTTACAGAATTTATGCCTAAGGAGAAACTGTCATTATCGTTACAGAACCGATGAGGTGTGGTTTTTAAACTATTCTAAACTCTCGTGTTGCCCAATCGGTTTTACACTTGTTTTTTCTATTCTGTCTATCGATGCAGTGAGATAATTTGTAAAATATCAGACTGAAGAAAGGATAAATTCAGTGTTTTATATCCCGTGGGGTTTGTCAGTTCGTGAACATCCGTTTTCTTTCTGTTAACGATTTTCTTTTTGGCTTAATTCCCGGAATGGAACCGCTAGAAGTAATAATGTTTTCATTTTATTTTTAGAACTAGTTTATTTACGATTTATTATGTATTCTCGTATTGTTTTGACACGTCGACGTGTAACAGTCGACGTATAGAATTTTTACTTAAAAATGGTAAAAACTTGTGGTATGTCGAGTTAATCGAGTACTCGAAAACTTACCCTCTGTGAACATTTATATAGGTTTTTTCCTGTATTAGAGACTTATTTTCTTTCTCTGTCGTATTAATAGGTAAAAATAATTTTTTATTTGGATTATTTTTTTACACCGCGACAGACGTATTTTTCACCTAGACTCCGATCGATTGTACGGGAAGTTTCCTTGTAGGAAAACTTGCCTTTTTCGAAGTGGTTCCGAAGAATTTCGAGACCGGGACTCTCCCCCGGGGAAGGGAAGAGGTGGGCATTCTTGTGTTGGTGTTTGTGAGCGCGTAGGGTTCGGTTTGGACGTCGACGTTGTCGGTTTTAACCGGGATCCATCTGGGACGGCAACATAGCGGTACGACCTGAATGGAAGGAGCAGCAGCCCACTCCCTAAAATTATGCCCCACCTCATTCTCTTTCACGCTCTCCGAGGGACGGACGCACACGCTCGCAGATCTGCCGACTGACGAAATCCCGGCCCACAAAAGGAATCCGGCCGATATCATCTCCACCCTCGGCCCCATTGAAAAAAAGCCCCATTTTCATTTATTGGGCTTTTATTAATGGAACGATCCTTTTTGAAGGTCGGCCCCGCACACGCTTTAAATACACTTTATTGGCATTCCTGCTCAATAGGCGTGTGCCAACTCATTAACGAGATACCGGCCTAAACAGATGTTCGCAAGGTGGACGCCGTGGTTATTTTCAACGTCCGGTCTCTCGAGTAATTGAATATCGTTGTTGGGGTCCGAGTAGTACGCGAGCAGGGCCCTTCCGACGAAAACCAGACATCTGACCTCCTCCTTGTCTATGCCACAATTTTTGGAAATGGCACGTTTTCTACAAACTCTTTTCTTCGTTTTGTGTGAAAAATTACAATCTGGAAGGATTAGCGATTTATTTACGCTTACCTCGGGCCACACGGTATATATTATATTGCGACCTGACGGCATTCCCCTTTGAATTTGGCGATATATTCATTTTCACGTGCTCATCTTGTTAGCAGGATACACAAGATGCATTTTCCTCACAATGCGTGTTCCAAAGCCAGAAAGAAGAATGTGTACCTACCCTTCGAACACAGTGATTTGGACATTTATTGGGCAGGAGTAGTTAAAGTAAACAATCTACTATCCAAATTAAAATCTATCTTTATTTGATAATATTAACAAAGAAATGAGTAGTAATTTGTAAGTCGGGTTCGAATGAAAGGCCGCTGGATTCGAACCAGGGACCTTTACCTTACAGTTATGACCGCCGTGTCAACTCCTAAACCGATACGACCACAGATGCCCCCTCTTTAGTAACACTTCATTCTGTACAATTGAATGTTACATCGCAATATTTTTTCTCTTTCTGATTTCAACAGCTGGATTAAATCGAAAGAAATCTTTTCACTTTCAAACAATCAATCGAATAAATTGAAAAATAATCTCTGATTAAAATATAATTAACCTTTTCCACTCTCTCTGATTCAACAGTAAAATTAGAGCTGAAACTTTTTTTTGTCCTGTTACAAATTCTAAGAGTAAACGGTTAATGACCCGTTAATCACGCTTTAATTTTCACTTTTTGTAAATGATGGTTCTACTCACGGATTTGTTGGTTACAACTATCCAGATTTCAAGCATTAAACGCTCATCATCAGGTTGAAGGTGTTACAAACACATTTATGCTTGAAATCCAGATAGTGGTAAACAACAAATCTGTGAGTAGAACCATCATTTACAACAAGTAAATCTACATTCTCACCCCACCTTCATCATTTCTGAGCTTTAATTTTTGTCCAAATCGGCTATTCTTTATCATTTAACTGTTATACTAAAATAGGAATGTTATCGTTTCGATTTGATTTAACTCATAAATTCATCACTCGTTCAGACTAATTAGAGCATTCGTTGCAACGGCAGTTAAATTAACGTTTATGCGAGAGAAAAAAAAAAGATTAATCAATTTAAACTTGGTAGTGATTCTAATATTTAGACTGGGAAGAATAATTTTCAATTGCATATTTCTTAACAGGAAACGATTTTGCTGATGGATAATTTTAATTTGAGCTTTCCTGGGTTCCGCACATTCTTTTGCAATTAATTAATTCCTTTCCCAAGTCATTATCATCGCGGAGGCAGGTCGATACTTTGTTTCCTCGACTCCGTGATGGTGTGAAATCGGCAAACGCATTCCACGATTTGTTTAACAATTTGTCACGTACCGTTAACGCTTAATGGAAGGATTGAGCAATCGGGGGAGGCCGATTTGCTTTTCCTTCTTTATGAAAATTTTGATTGTTCCGGGAGTTTATTCATCATGTCATAAAAGCCACGTCAAATCGATCGACTCTCTACGAACAAACTTCATCGTTTTATTGTGTATATTATATCAAAATATGGAATATCGGTGTTATTCTGCGTTGCGTGTATGATTTTTTTTATGTGTTTATTTTCTATATACTCTTGAAATGAGTATCTAATTGTCAATTGACACGTTTATAAATTATTGACTTTCTCGAGCGTTAATCAAGTATCACCAGTTTTATTTATTTAGACTCGATGCACTCTAAAATATACAACAATTTATTGAAGTAGATGCTTCGAAGGTGTAAACACCTGTAATCGCTCGTCCAGTTTAATCAGAGAGTAAATATTTGCGATTAGCTCGACGCCTAACTGTCTTTCCCATTTTATTATGTTATTTACGGGCTGGATTTGAATAATTAGGCAAGGCTCACGAAGATGACAATTTTTTAATTCTTGAAACGGTTCGATTGTCGTCGAAATTGTCGTTCAATATGATGAAAAATAAGAACGAGTAAGTCGATATATATTAGAACAATACCAGGTTACACGCGAATTGGAGTGGTTTTGTTCTCACATTTCCAAAACCCATCAGGGTATCGATTCTTTGATTAATCGGAACGTCCGCTCAAAATAACAATTTTCCGATAGACTCGATTTTGGTTTTGACCGTGGAGAAGTGATTGAGTGTTTTTTTCTCTCTCCCAACGGACCCTTGTGTTTAGACATTTGTTACATAACTGGGTGGACCAATAATAAACAGTTACGATTAGATTACATTTTGCTTCGATTATAATAACGGTGTGTAGTCGATTTAATTCCATATCTTTTCTGAATCGAAAATAGAACTTTAGCTTTTCACAGTCTGACTCATTTTTGGCATAATTATAATTCATTTATATAGCCCGGGCTATTTCCGGATATATTTTTCTTTAGCGGGTGTATTAGTCAATGGCGAGGGGAAGGAGATTAAAAATAGAGAGTCTAGCGTGCGAGCAGACGCTGTTTTCGAGGCTTTTTAATGTTCAAAAGGTGGCAGGCCGGCAATCTATGCTTGCAGCAGTCTTATCCCATTGCTGTGTTCATTCTGTCAACTTTGATGTTATTACATCTTTACAAATAGTCCCGAGTTTAAAGCAACGTTTTATTTGTTCAAATGCCACGAGGAGCTTAATTTTGGTGTATCACTTAATTGCTTACATTTTTTCTGCGGAAAAACAAAACAAAAAACAATGACATTTCTCGTCTTGTGATAACTTGGCAACAATGCTTGGTTAAATTGTCGTTTGAACAGACGGGGCGAGGCGGGGAGGTCTAATTAATTTATGATTAATTAGAACGTAAAAGAATATGATTTAACCGTGAATATGTAATTGTCATTTTTAATTATAAACCCAGGGCAAAAATAATTGTTGATCTACTCGTATATATTAAAATGGTTCGGCTTGAAAATGTCAGCAACGCACAATCAAAGAAAGATTAATTCGATTAATTTACGACAAAGCGCAGTTGTCACAGCATAATCAATCAATCTGAATGTAATATTGAAAAATTTAATATACTCGAGATTGGAAATTGTAATTTCCTGGCTAGCGATTATTTTCTGACGTATTTTATATTTTTTTAATGCGGCATTTAATTGTGTCCTTTGAAAGTCTGCCTATAATCCCAACAATTGTTAAATGAATATTTAGGCTGTTTTGTGATGAAATACCAGCAGTTCAGTTAAAGGGTTCAGTTAAGTTCTCTGGCCTGCATCGCAGAGCTGTAACTCCTTTGACTGACTGACTGTAGGCTGGTGAAACGGGCTGATCGGTTATTGCATTTTAATCCAGATTATTTAGCTTAACTTGACATTTTAAACTTGTTTGTAATATTAAATTGTAAATTAGGTAGTTTGATTTGAAGTATGTGCGAATAACGAATTGTTGTTTCTGTCTTACAGGTGTAGGTGGAGATGGCCAAAAGCGGAGTGAGTCTCACAGCTCCGAGACCGATAGGTCAGCGAGCGGCAAACGAATACATTGAGACACCACTTCCGAGGCTACACCAGCCCCATCCGACGCAGAGGCTACGCCAGCAACACCTACCATTGCAAGAGGAAGGAGGAGAAGGGAGGCATTCTAGACACCACCTTCCGGATAATAACAATAAGAAAGATGTACTCGTACCAGTGCACAGGACTCAACCTTCGAAACCGGCGCCACCGTTGCTCCAGCAGGACAATTCGATCATTTGTTCGGAGTGCGGGAGGTGCAGGTGCGAATCGTGTCGGAATCCAGCAGAACCGCCATCTGCATGGCTCTGCCGGGATTTATGCTACTGTTCGCCGGAATCCTGCGTGGATTATGCCTCGTGCCTTTGCTGCGTCAAGGGCATCATGTACCACTGTTCGACGGAAGGGCAGGCCTACTCGAGAGACCCGTGTTCCTGTTCGAGCGCGGGTTGGCTCCCGAGGTGGGCCTGTTTAGGTTTTACGGCGTTATTTTTCCCATGCCTTTGTTGTTATTGCCCTTTAAAAGCGTGTTCGGACTCGTGTACGTCCGCGTATGTCGCTTGTTCCCGCCGGGGGTGTTCCTGTGACGCGGCCTAAGAGCAGTCACACTCCCCCGAAGAACAAAAAATCATCAACAAACGACAAAGTTTCCCCCCTCGCCACCCCTTCCTCAAAACCTTTACGGAACAAAACAGTATTATCTAGTCGCTCCTCCCCTCTCAAGACGTAAGAAAAGGGAAGAAGAAACAACTTGTACATAATGCATATAATTTATTTAACATGCATTTAATTTTTATATATATATATATACTTGAGAAAAAATAAAAAAAATAAACCTTATAAATAAATTCTTACCCAATCTTTATATACATATGCGTATAGAACGGCAAAACATCACAAGAATTTGAGGCGTCTTTTAACTCATTCTAATGTCAATCTAATTTATTTTGCAANCCTAGGATTTCTGTGTGGTAACAATTTATTTATATAAAGTCAAATTTATGCTTCGAAAAAGCATAATTATTGTATATACCCTATAAATAATATATACATATATTCATATATATGTATATGTATATATATAGTCTATATATATAATTAAAAAATGTAAACATGTAAACGTTAACAAATATATAAAATAACAGAACATTTAATTTATCTATATTTGTGTTTTATTTTATTCGCATTATTTTTGATTCACTCCCTTTATTATTTTTATGGCATTAGCTAATAATGGAGGATAATCTTTGCCACTGGTCTTCATTCAACCGAAATAATTAAACACCACCATTTAACTGTTATATTTCAAATTAAGAGACATTATTTAATTATTATTTATATTTAAGAAATATTTTATCTAACCATTCTCATCCTAAAAGTGGTGCTTTTTGGTTATACGTTGCATGTTGTAGAATTAGTAAAACGTAATGTGAATTTGGAGTTTAGAAAATCATGATTAATCCATATTTGTTACAATTAGTAAGAAGAGCGGATTCATTTTTTCTTTTGATATTTGTGATTTAAACGACTACCTTAGAATGTGATAATACGTACCAAAGTGTTATATCAGTTATAAATATATGTAGTCAAATAAATGACATTTCAAAGGGATTTGAAAATTTTACTTTGTTTATTAGTTTGAAACGTTTTTAACGACAAATTTTTATATTGACGACCTACTTGATGACTTCTAATATTTTACTTTTGTAGACCAACTCTGGGCCGTTATTACTCAGTGAAAGTGAGCTATAGAGTTCAACAGACTTAGAAAAATTGGCTTATCGAGTACATACTAATACTTAAAAGAAAATGGTCAGAATGTTTAAAAATTAAAAACTGGTTTATTTAATAACTTGTGAAGATATTTATTATCAACTGGCTGTCATTAAATTGAAGCTGACATGTTAATACAAATGACCTACACAACAGCTACAAAATAATTTATTAAAATTAAACCAAACTCTAAGTTTCCAAGTCATAAAAGACAATTTCGTTACCCCAATAATTATATTCGTTTCTTTATGAGTGGGTGTATTCAAGGTGCTCCTAAAAATGGTTATGACACGTTGAGTACACACCCTTTTTCTCATAAATGGACATTGATTAATTAAAAAATACACAACAAAAATCATAATTTTGACTTGTATTTTTTCCACTAAGTTATTCCAATAAGAATGGTGAATTTTTTAAGACTTTTGGTTTGATTTTCTTACCAGAGAGCGAATTGAAAGACAATTTATCTATAAACACTTTATCAAAGCAAACAGTTTCTCATAAGTAGAAAAACAATAGTGAATTAGTTTTTCGTAAAGAAGAAGTCCATGAATCAATACCAATCATCCCTTAGACGCTGATATACGGCAATTAAAAAAATCAATAGTTTTTTCCACATAGGAATTGATAAATTCTGGAATAACCTATAGTATAGGTTATATTTATAGGTTAGTTATCGAGAACTATGAAAAAATAGGGTAAAATGGAACGGATTTTGATTGATGGTCTGTCACCTAACCGCACCATCAATACGAATCAGTTACATTCTACCCTATCTTCTCTTAGTTCTCGATTCATCTGCGATGGCGACTTCAATGCGAAGTTCTTTTTCAAAATATCCTGTCCCAATAATGTATTATCATCGCCCCATCTCAACCGACATATTGCCAACATCTCCGTTCAAAAGATCTGATCTGCTTGACTACTTAATCTGTTCCAACATTATATCCTCATACACTGACTGTTTAAGACTATATTCGGATCACAGCCCTGTCATCACACTCGACATCAATCCCCCACCTAACATATAAACGGAAGTTAATGGAACTTGTTTCGAGACTCACTAGAACACAAACCAGACCAAAACATCACTTAAAACACCTCAACAATTAGGCGATACTATAGAACATTTGACTAACTCTACTCTGAACCGACTAAATATTCAAAAATACCACAAAATTTATCTCCTCACTTGCAAGAATTGATAACCTGTAAACGGAGAGCGCGAGCTAGTTGGCATCGCAGCAGATACCCTTCTAACAAGAGACTTTTCAACCAATTAACTAGACACCTAACAAATGTACAAAACTCTTTAATGACCAAGACTCCAATTCACGCAATCCTTACCACCGAAGACATGCCCTAATGGACAGCATCAAAGAAAATTCTTAGGTAAAAACAAACATTCTTCACACCCCCTACAACGTGAAGTTGGATATTGGGGTCAAATCTGACGAAGAAAAAGGCCAAGTTCTGGCACTGCACCTCTCGGCAGTTTTCACTCAGTACATTGTCATACAAGACCTTCAGCACACAGAACAATTGCAGTTTATTTTAAACATGTCTCAACGCTCTCTTATTAGTAAGCGTAGAGGATGCCATCATGCGTTTTCGGAAAGTGGAATACTTCAAATATTTGGGTTCCGTAATTGAATACCAAGGGGGAACACTGAAGAAATTGACCGAAGGACCTTGAATGGAAGAGCAGGCCGTTTGAGCTCACTCTGTCCTTCCTGTCGGCAAATAGATAAGGATCCAAAAAGTCATATACATTGAATTTTTTTGTATCTTAAGGATTTTGGGCAATGAATAAAGTAGAAAATACAAGACGTTTTAAGCCCTAGAAATGGTCTTGTGGAGTCGATCTGACATAAGCTCTAGATTGCCGAGGATGCGTCATTCAGATATATTATGGAAGAGATTGAAATCCTTGTTAATATGCTCGCAATTAATACAGGAAAAAGTGTCATGTGGAGAGAATGGGATAGGGGGATGATTAGGAAAGGAAAACCGAGGAGTAAATGACGGTAGAAAAGAATTTGGCCAAGCATGTTCTGACCGGGAAACAAGTCAAACATTCCTGGAGAATTCAAACAATAACATTTAAAATCTACGGACAACGTACGTAACAATATACACACGCACATTTATATCGGGTTTTAATAAGCAAGCATTTATTTTACCACTTTTACATATTTATAGTCATGAGGGTAAAAAGAGAAATGTTTGTTAGAGAAAAAGTTCAAAAAGTATATAAATATAGGAGATTGTGTTTCAATCATCATTGTTCATAATTCAAACAAATACTAGTCAAGAACAAGAGCTTTGAGGATATGAATCGTTTATTCAGCAAGGCGAGGAATGAATATCTTGCGGGCAGGCCATCTGAGATAAAAATTGCACTATGGTTCTTACAGGGCGGCCGGTCATGAGCCCCTTCCTGTAGTAGATTGGGCAGTCTTCGGCTTCTCTTCCGGTCCCGCTTATGTCGATATACGCGAAATCGACCTTAGGAGCAAATTCCTGAAAGGTTGAAGATTGATAAATAGATTTAATGTTGCCATTAGGGAATCTTGCGCTGTTTTTCACCATTGTCGACATATCGACGAGTTCACAACACTTTAATTTATAAGTTTTAATTTTAAGTATATAATTAAAAAGTGACATTGAATATATTATAGGACATATATCAGGTAACATAGAATTACAAATTATAAAATGTGGTTAAATAATAAGCCCGGGTTCCACTGTACAAAAATTTTCTCGGATTTTTGCCTATCGTATCAGGGGTTATCAGATTCGTTACTGATCCCAAAAGCGAAACTCGATTGGGCGATCGACTGGATTTCGTCTATCGTAAATCCGCGTCACTCGAAAAAAGACGATTTCTTTGGTTATGTCGGCTTCAAAGGCAAATTTCTAATGGCAAATGCATACTCATAAGTAACCGTAACACTTGTGACTTCTATGTCCAACGAGGCTTTTTACAACAATCGTATTAACTAACAACCAAATCAACTTATTTTTAAAAATCCATATGGAAGAAATGATGGAAACTGACAAGGAGGAATGCTGCTGCTTTGCAAAGAGGCGCGCCCCTTTCTAGGCCGACATTGTCCACATCGACTGTCGGGAGTTCTGGAAAAAAAAGATATTTAAAAAAATAAAAAATAAATAATAATTAAGTCTCGCTCAACCTGTAACGTTTTTGGTAAAATGATCCCAAAATGGCATCCTCCATACGCGATCTCCCGTTTCCGCAGCTGCTTTTTTCAGTTCCCTCCAGACGACGTCGGATGTAGAAAATGTCGGAGAAGCCACGGAGCCCATAGCCATGGTCTCTCCACCTGTAATGACGATAGAGTTAAGATTATCTGGGGGCCATGCTCGACAGACGCAGACGCACTTGTGAGCGTCGCGATGTTAATGACGAGGCATGGGCTGAAGGATGCCGCGTGGATCAAAGCCGAGGACAGTGTCACTCGCCCTGCGTATGCCGGATTTTCGATTTTGATCGATCTGCCGGTTTTCGTGAGGACGACGTCGCCCGGTTTGACAGCAGCACCGCCGGGCATGTTTTCCATGAGGGGGATCAAACCGTTCACGTTTATCGGCAGGTTGAGCACAGCCAGTGCTTTCATTATACCGACGATGGCTGCACCCCCGGCCACGTCCGCACGGTGTTCGCCCATCCCTTCGCAGGGCCTCAAGCAGAGGCCGCCTGAGTCAAACGTCATCCCTTTCCCTGTAATCGCAAGTTTTAATTGTCTGCATTCGAAAGTCGAGGTGGAGTTTCTACCGATTAAAATGACGGGCTTGTCGTCTTCGCTACCGCCGCAGTAACTCAGCTCCAGAAAGAGCGGTGCATGACAAGAACCCCGAGCTACAGCGAGAGCCGGTATCATCTGTTTGTCGTCCATCCAATCTCTATCTTTGATTTCGACCGAAACTCCACAAGGGCATAGAATTTCCACCGCCGACTAGGGGAGAAAGAACAGATTATGCCAATTTTTTTTATCTTAAATGTATTTACGTCCACCTGTGAGAATCCCATCGGTGTTTTTATGTTGGCTGGTTTTTCGGCTAACATCCTAGCGATATTTTGGCATTCCGCTTTGGCGTAACCTCGATTCCACTCTTCGCTACAAGTTATCCATGGAAGGAAACAAAGCACGATTGTTATTTCTTTAAACGACCACTTCCGAGTCGTTTGTGGGCATACTTACTCCGCCGACGGGTTGAAGAAATCGATCGTGCATTCTGTCTTCTGTCTATTTTTTTGTTTCAAATCTTGGTACCTCCAAGTGGCGAGCAATGCCCCTTCAGCAGCCGCCCCCGCGTTCCTGAACGCTTCGACGAAAATCTTTTCTATCCCGCTGTCTTGGAGGGCTCTCGCCCCGGCAGCCGCTGCCACTCTGATGGATTCTTTGCACTGATCGAGGTTCTCGGTCTCCGAATAGGTCTTCGACGGCTCTCCAAGAGATGCGACGGCGGTCGCTGAGAATTGGTCGCTGATGTTATGCAACAGTTTCGCTTTCCCCTCCGAAAGTTTGAACCTAAGGCCACGTCCTCTTGTAAGTCGCAGGGACGAGGGAATGGTAAAGTCACTCACCTTTCCATAATGTACTTAATTCTTCCTCCGTAGTCGTTGTCGTACGCCTCCCCCGAGTTGGTCAACATCTGCTTCCCGTTGCAGTCCTGATAAATGCCGATCACCAACCCCGACTAAAACACAACTTTGGCGTGTCACGGAAAACATCTTATGCGAATTTTACCAATTAGACCCACACGAGTAAAACAGTGGGAGTCTGTTCAAAATAAGGCGACCTACCCTCTTCTCGGATTGGCACTCCTCGGGAATAGAAGAATATCTCCTGTTGAAAAATTTTGTCGCAAAACTCACTTTAGAACGAAGCATTTTTTTTTTCAATTTGTTTTAACTACGTAAAATTACAATAAATTTCGACAGAAAAAATTTAGCACTCCAAAAGTACAACTGAAAATTTAGGCATGTACAAAGCAATACCAAAATCTAAATATTCGGTCACATGAGTTTAATTTAGACAGAACACGTGTCAAAATTTATCGCCATTAAAAAAATATAAAAAAATAAATTCAAATTTGTCGTTAAAATTATATGGAATGATCGCATTTTCTTCGTTAATGACATTATTGTTTAATGAATAGTTCTTACATTGATATTTAATATTTCATTTCGTGTCGTTTGTGCTTATCTTGGACTACAATTAACAAAAATTAACACCAAATTATGCAGCTTCGTGTAATTTTGTAATTTTCTATATTGCCTAAATAACGAAAAGCTTGTCTTAAACGTTCTTTCGTGTACCTGTAGGTTGGTCGTTTCCGATCATTTTGTACTGCACACCCTCGCTATTTTGACCTGTTAGACGTGTTTCTCTCTAGGACCCAGAACTGAAGATGGCGAGTAGCCGAAACATGAAAGACATCGGCAGAATGATCGGAAACGGCTAAAGAACATCAAGGCGCAAGCCCTAGGAGAAAATCTCACAATTTCCGTCATAAGGATAAATTTTAATGCTCAGCAAATAAATGCTGAATAAAAAGACTTTGACTTCTTCCTAAACGTTGTTAGCACGATTTCAATATTGTCATTCCTTTAGAACTTAAGCGAAACATTGTAAATGGTTGTTAATGGATCTGATGAATCATTTACGGTATAATCGATCCTGAATGAATTGAGAGAAGCTGCCATTGATCACAATTCTTATACTAAAATGTTCTGCTGGTTTGTTCTTGTTGGTCCTCTCGATATCGATGTTATCACAACTTTTCTCTTTTGCTTGTCACGTCGGCCTAATCCGAACGAGAAATTGTTTGTAGCGTATTTAGAATTAACGAGAACTGTTAATAATCCCATCAATCTTAGGGGTTAGCGCACAACGTGTCCGTGTAAAAAAATCTCTGGCGGAAGTTGCATCTTACGACGCTTAGAACAAAAAAACGCCTAATGTTTCTTTTACTGACAAATGTTATTTGTTTTTATTTAAACTAGTAAATACCGATAAGGCTAACGAACTCAGCATATGTCGGTCGGCATCGGCGTGTGTGAACCCCCAAAAAAATTGTTTATCAACCGGTCGAAAAACTTCAAGATGCAGCGTACTGAAGATTCTCGCCGCAATTTCAAGAAAGAAACACGATATAATTAAACCCCAGGACTATTTGTAAAGTATATTCTTTCTTCTTCTCATGAATAGATCTGTCGAATGTATTTGATGACAAAAAGTCACAACATAACTGTTTTACGTATATAATTATAAACTTTTTAAAATAATTTTAACCATTAACTCGGTTTTCTTCGTATTTGCTCGTGTCTCTTTTCATTCACAATAACAATAAGTTTCTTAATAAAGGTACGTTGATAATAAAAGTGCGTAATGGGTGCAGACACATAAAGTGTAATATAAACTGACGGTCAGCAGCAGAACCCATAAATTGTAGACTGTTTTTACTTTGACAAAGACAAGAAATATTTTAAATATACAACATGAGATTTGTGGTAGTGACTTAAATACAAACTGACCACACAAGATTAATATCATTAGGAGTTTTACAAATACAGTGATGACCATTAATCTATTCTCAACCAAACTGTCGAGGAGTTTCAATCGGATTACAGGCTGTGAAAAAGGCTCGGGATCGAAGGAAAAGAAGAACAATCGTTGGTTGCCCAGGGAGAAACAGGGAGATCTTTTTTTTAACGCTGGAAAACTATGGTTTCCTTAGTTTAATCGTAGATGTGAAAATTCACAGTTTATTGTATAAAAACATTTTTGGGTCGGGTGGCGTGGATGGCGTTAACAGCAGCACGAACTTTCGGAAACAAAGCGAGGGAACAAATTCAAATTCGTAAAGTATTGGTGGAAGGCGAATTCCTCCGGACACGTTGATTCGGATCCGGCACTTTCTCTCCAATAAATTTTCCAAAGTTATTTTCTGAGTAGGCCCGTGAAAGACGAAGCTGGGAATTTTGTTGTGGGCTGAAAGCTAGCCTACACTCGCGTCCCACGGCACCGAAGGTGGTACGATTCGCCTTTTCCTTCCCACTTCGTCCCCAACCCAAATAGCTCCTTGTCTCTCCTGCCTTCTCCTTTAAACACCCACGTTCACCGGTCATTGGCGACTGGTGGCACTTCTTATGAAACACACACTAGCACACAATCCGGCGACGATTTGCATATTTTACAGGCGGGATTTCAATACCTCAAGAGCAGATGTCGATGAGTGGTTTGGTTTTGTGTAATACATTTCAAAACAATTATACGGCCGACATGAATCTATGTTAATTACGTAATTTACTAACTGGTAACAAGTTACGACTTACATAATCATGCGGAAAGGAATGCCTATTTAAATACTACACTAATTTTAAAACTGAACGGAAATGACTTAATTATGATAAATGTCATTAATACAATTTAACTCTTTGAATCGAAACTCGCGGCTTAAATAATTAGAAAAAAACCCTAAAAAAAACCTCGATTTCAGCAGAGAAAGTCTATTATCCTTTTCCAATGAGAGGACTTGATTTAATTTGGAATAGGCAGTTTACTTGTAAACCTTCAATATTTTTAAAGTTATTTATTATTTCTATTGAAATTACAATGTAATTATGTACAGCAATGCATCTGTATTCTACCTTACTATCAAATGTTAAAAAAAGAAAAGAAAAAAAAACAGAAATACACACTCGACTTGATCCAAGAAACACTATATCATCCTATAAAGTCTTAACCGTTTACAAAGAAGAATTCAGGAGAACATTGGATGCAATTAAATTCACTAATTTCGTGGTCCGCTTGACCAATTAATATATTACAATTAATTAAGGTTTTTAGTTGAGATAAAAAAGCCAGTGTCACGAGCGGGATACGAACCCACGATCTTCGGCTTGATACGCCGCTGCTCTACCACTTGAGCTATCGTGACCTCGATCCACTCGGACACTAACTTCCCATCTCAACCGCACCTTTTGAATTTTCCCTCCTTTTTGCCATTTTTAAAATGTCGTGTAATCGGTTTGGATTCTCGACGACAAATGAAATGGCACTATGGAGAGCTTTAGTGAAGTCTACTTCATTTTAAATCATTAAATTCACTAATCTCGCTCGTGCCATTGACTTTTTTATCTCATCTAAAAACCTTAATTAATTGGATGCAATGATGGCTACAAAACATGCGAAGGAGCTAGATGAGGTGTGTTTTGAACAAGCTCAAAACATGAACAATTGAGTTTATTAGGGAAGTACACCTCGATGTTTCAAGGTAATATAAGCCTTCAATGTACCTTGAAGGTACCTGTTCCCCTCAAACATAAGATCAGGCAGCCTTTCAGCCATTAAAGCATTAGCATGTAAAAAAATCACCAGAACTATTCAACGAATGCAAACAAATTCTTCAAAACCTGGGGAAACCCAATAACCTGATGATATCTTAGATACCAGGACACAAACGATTTATGGCAGACAGAAAAGCAGACACACTGGCAAGAAGAGGATCTGCAGGACCCTCAACTAATTCTTGGGATAACAAAAATAAACATAGAATCCTCCAATCCAAAAAAGACAAAAGGAGTTGTGAATAAACTCAAGAGGTGCAAGACACAGTAAACTTAAATAAAACATAGTGACCCAAGTACACTTCATGCTAATTACATGCTTGTTGGTTGTAAATAAAATGATGTAACAAACTGTGAAATAATATATTTAATGACAATAATTAAAAAACACATTATTGCACCTGTAGTTGATTTAAATGATTAATTGTTAAATTTTTGGCCATTAAATCCCTAAAATATGCAAATAGAAAATAAATTATATGTATGGCTTAATTGTATTGTACTGTTGTCACCTTAAAAGTAAATTAATTTATGCAGTCGCTTGTTGATTTTCATCTTTTTCACCTCCGTTCTGAGTAACGGTATTCTCATTTTCCTCACACTTATTAATATAAATACTATCGGTTGTTATAGTGTTCTCAATCTGCTGAAGTTGTAGTTGAAGATGTGGAAAATTGCCTTTGAGCGATTCAACTATTTCATAAAGGGAGGCGAGTTCGTCTTCAAGCCTGGTCTTCTCTTTTAACTGGGAATCCGGTGATTTGAAAATGCAACGGTATTTGCCGAATTTGAGCTCTTCCAGAAGTTTACATTTTCTTTGCCTCATAACTGTTGTTTCTAGGCACTAAAATTTATTTATTTATTTATTTATTTTTTACTTTCAAGCTGACAAGCGGTACTCGGTTGAATGAGCTTACCGAATGTTGGTGCACTTCACCCTCTTCAATCTGTCTCTCCAACTGATTGAGGCCATGTTTTAAACTGTTGACACTCTCTTTTATCAAACTATGCTCTTTCTTGAGTTGTGCTTCTGTCTTCTGCAGAGAATATATTTCATCCATCATCTCTTTTCGAGTCTAGAAAAACCCATGACATATTTTACACCAATGACTATAATGAAATAAAAAAATGATAATAAAATTTTAACAACTCACCCTGATCAATTGGTTTAATTTGTTTTTCATTTCTTGGATTTTCCTCTCAAGCTGCACTCTTGAAAATTGTTTACCTAAAGGAGAATAGACAATATTACTGGATCAATTTCTAAAAATCATAGCTCATTAATTTAATCTTTGTTCTGTGTAATAGGCAATCATTCAAAATAGTATGCTTGATTGTGAGGTGAGGGCTTGAAATTAATTACTCAAAACTAAAAATCTACAAGGAGCATTTACTGCAAACAAAGAAGATATTTTTGCTCAGAAATCAGGCAAATTGTGGAAGGATGTAAAGAGAGAGAGAGAGAGAGGGGGGCAGATGCAAACCGACATGAAACTTCTTAATAAATGGGTTGCTTATAATCATCTATTGTTTAGCAGTAAATCCAAGTTCATGTGCTTTAATCTCCACAATTCGAGTCACACTGACTTAAAAGTGAAATTCCATTCTCTCTAATGCTCTGTTAACTTCTACATGATAGATGCTTTAAGGTGGATCAAGTCCATGAAATTAAATATCTAGGCCTAATTATAGATGACCATTTAAAATGGTATTCTCATATTGATTTAGTACAAAAAGACTTCAACATGGTTTAAGAAATATTTATTTTCTACAATGCAAATGTAACACCTCCCTTCTACTTAAAAAATATTACACCCTCAAACAGACACAAATTAAATCGGCCTTCATTTGCTGGGGAAGTGTAAATGACAATGCTAAGAAAATAATACATAAGTCTTGTAGAAACAAAATTATTCATGCAATTTTAAAAAAATACAAATTTGAACTCCGTCCTCAAATTCCAATTTTTATTATACCGTACATTTACCTTTTCTAAACCTTTTTCAAAAATATTTATTTATTTTTAATGGTCTTAAGAACTATGCATATTAGCCAAAGAGATGATAAATATATGAATGCATATTTTTTAGGGAGAAGGGTATTGTGAAAAAGGGCCAGGGGCGATGATGAGAATTGAACCTATGACTGCGGGGTCTACTAGCTGAGAGTTGATCTCGCTAACCACTTGGCTACAGCAGTTTCCCTTTTCCGAAGCTTAAGGGAGTTTTTTTTAATAAAGGTGGAAATTGTATCGATCGATATAAAACAAATTAAATGTAATATGAGAAGAACAGCTTGTTGCCCCCAACCAAAATTAACATTTATGTTGAATTGTTTTCTGTATGTAGACCTTAAGTGGTTCAATTTGGTTCATAATGAGATCAAATGTGAGGTTAATCCCAACGAATTTTCTAAAAAAGTCAAATGTTGGCTAAAACCAGTATTAAAAATTAGTACCTACTATTTTAAAACGAAAATTCTTAGTTTTTCATGTTGGTTTAATTTAGTTTTACAATTTATTTATTTACAAACAATAGCCCATTTTATTATAGTAATAACAAGAAAGATAAAGAACATTTAAAACATGAAAAACTTTTCAATATCAATATGGCAATAATAAAATAATAACATATAGTAGTTCAGTTTAGATACTGATATTGAATAGAAATACACTATGTGGGATTTGACTAGAAAATAAAACAATTTTAAAAATGTGTAACTATAATTATTTCTATTTTCTCCCTCCGTGTTGGTCAATGTAAACTGCTCAAAATGAATAAGAATATTGCCAATTTTGTAGTATTTACTTTCTCTAGCATTTTAATTTTATTTTTATTATAAATTGCATTAAAATTTATTTAAAATTATTGTTTTTTTACTGAAGGAAAATTTAATTAAGGGATTTTGAAAAATAACAAAATAAAAGGTTTTAAATCAATAATTGTGTTTATTTGACACGATAATTTTTTAAAACTATTAATACCATGTATAATATCCTCTGCTAGCTAAAACCTCTGTACACATGGTGGGCATATTGTTAATAAGGCTGTCACTAATTTCACAAGAAATTTCAGTCCATAGATGTTGCAACACTGCACTCAGTTGTTGCAGGTCAACTGGCTAAGTATGGTGATCGAAAAGCCTTTTCTGCAAGCATCCTACATGTGCACAATGGGACTGAGGTCTGGAGACAATGGGGGAAAGTCAGATGGGAAATTCCTAAACATTGATGAGCAAACAACTGCCTTTATGAGTTCTGGCACTGTCATCCAGAAATCTTAAATCCTTGACAATGAGATCCCTGGTTTGAGGGATGCATTCCTCAATAATTTATTGGACATAACGGACTGTGGTGAGGTTGTGTTCAACAGTAGCAGTTTGTCCTCCAGTGTAAATCCCAGCCCAGACCATTACACCACTCCCCCGAACAGTTCTGAACTGGGACATTGTACACATCTCCTGGTAGACTCTTCAGCAGCTGCTATTGCAGAAACGTGAAACATCAGTAAACATACCAGCATTCTAATTAGAGTTCTCTTGTAGGCACTCGCTGCACCATATTCTCCCTAGTTGCTGGTGGCGGGTTGTTGATGCAGGTCGTCTCAAAGGGGCATACGATATGAGGCCAACTTCCCACAAATGATAACGAATCGTTTGTGTCGATAAAGGCCTTGCCAAAACATCTTGTACTTCATTTAGGATCTGGCGGGCACTATGGCATGAGTTCTGTCTTGCAGCAAAGACAATATTTCTGTCCTCCCTTAGGTTTGTAATGCACTGAGATCCAGTACCAGCCTCCTATTGGCACGCCCATAGTCTCTTGGAATCAGACTAAAGCTCGAGAGAAGACGATCCCTGGAGGAATTGCACCCTTCAATTAAATGAGACGCGTCGAGCAACCCTTCTCTGCATGCCAGATACATACACGGACTTTGGCCCAAAAGATTCATGTGATTTCATTGATTCTATTGTCTATTTTAATATAAGAAGTTTCTCCTTGTTGTACAGCTTGTTCCTCGGTGACTAGTTTCCCCTCAACCCACTATTTTTCCTCATTGTATTTCTTGCAGCCCTTAACTGAATTTACCTCAAGGGAGTCCATAGCAGCAACTTAAGTTAGATGTATTAGAGCGAGTCATAAAAAATGACCGTTTTTCTTGCTAATTTAAAAATAATAATTATTTTGACACAATTTTTTTTTTTAAATTTTCAAAGTGTATACCAATGTGTTCTATAGTTTATTGCCATCTTGAGGCCAGGTATTGTATTCCTTCACAATGCCATTATTTTGATTTTTAATGGAAGAATTCCGCAACTCCATTTTGAACCTCATCCAGAGGATTAAAAGTTTTCCCTTGAAGATAATGAGCTATGAACCAGAACAGATGGTAGTTGGAACATGCTCAGTCTGGACTGCTAGCAGGGTGAGCGAGAAGCTCAATTCAATCCATTTCTGTGATTTTTTGTTTCGAGTAACAAGAAATGTGTGGTCGGACGTTATCTTGTTAAAACAAAACCTAATTTCTATTTAATAATCCTGGGTAACGCTGGGTCAAAACATCATACATTTTATGTAACTCCTCAGAAGACCAAACTAAACTCTTAAGTCAAAACTGAAGGCTTTACACATTCATTTCTCTACGGGTTAAAGTGATATCAAATCTAATTGGATTTTAAAAATAAATAAGGTGTCTAAGTGATTACAATTTCCAAGAAAATGAAATCAGTCACTTTTTATGACTCATCCTATTATATATGTTTCTTTTGACTAGGAAATTTGTGTTCTGTGCTATATAGTAATCTAATAAAGCTGGTGTGAGGTGAATTAAACAGTCAATGCAATAATTTAATCTAACTTATATATTATGCTTTTAAATTGTGCATATAAGATGTAAGATACCTTGCAGTCGAGACCGTTTTTCCCTGGCGTCTGCATTGTCTATGATCTTGTCCCTCCTTGATACACACAGTTCAAGGTCGTTCAACAATTTTTCCTGAGCTTTTTTCAATTGATTGTATCTGACCTAATTCAGAAATTAACATTATTGTAATCTTATTGTTTGTATTGTCTAATTGTTTACTTACCTCCATCCTATGTATTTCCATCTTCATTGCACCTAGTTCGCCTCCGGCCTCCCTTTCCCTATCAACCCTCTCTTTCACTTCTAAAGCTAAACTCCACTTTTTTTCCCATGCGAGGAGTTCTTTGTGGCTCTGTGTTAGTTGTTCAGTTAACTCTTGGATAAGGTTGGTTAGTTCACAGTGTTCCTTTTGTAATTGTATTGCTTCACATTCTGCATCCTAGTTTAAAAAGAAAGAAAAAAGTATATATGTATATAATAATATATATTAATAATATAAATTATATATATAAGTATATAATAATGCAATATACTTTCAAATTTCCACTAAAGACATTTTGTGCATCTATAAGTTGTAGTTTGGCATTCTCAATTTTGCTGGTGATTAAACAACTTGTTTGATGCCACCTTTCAAGTGTTTTTTCTTCCCTGAATATTTCCTTGTTGCTTTTGTTGATCTGGCTCTGGATTTTTTTAACCATTAAATCATTCCTGATCTTGCTGTTTTCCATAGTAAGGTTATCTAAAAATTAAAATGTTACTGACGTGATAAACCTTATTGTTGATGGTGTATGTTGGTCTGCGAGTTGGTGAACACATTCTGAACCAGACTGGGTCTGTCTACGCTCATGAGTTTTTGGTTGCATTCGGCTTCTTATCCTTCCTCAGAAGATAGCGCAAAAATGAAATGGGTTTGAGTAGTGTCGAAAACTCATCGGGTGTAGACGAAGCCAGTAAGAGATTCAATGTTGGCTTAACAGATCTTATTGTCATAACTTACGTTTTCTTGTAATATTGATTTCATGTACTTGATGGGCCCTTGACTCTTTTTGTTGAAGGACTTGGTTTTGCAGGGAGAGCCACTCTTTTGCCAGAGTTTCAGCTTCTTTTGCCATAGTGTGGTTAAGTTTTTCAAGCTTCCTCAGTTTTTTTGCATTTGAATTTTTTTCTTGAATTTCCTGTAATAATCAAGAAATCAAGAAGGAGGAAAACACAATCAACTATTGTATATTGTAAAATAACATTTGCCAATTACATCTGCAATTTTCATTCTTGTTTCCAATTCTTTGATTTTTTGTTTTTTCATTCTAATTCTTGATGTTAAATTTAGAACTTTGTCCCTCATTTTTTTCCTTTTTATGTCAATCGACTTTAGTATCTGCTCACTTGCTACCAACTCACTTTGTTTTGAATTAAATTCAAGTTCATTTTTGTTAACGGTTAATTTAGCCTCTTCACATTCCACCATCAATTTGGCCAAAATGTTTTCACTTTCAGTAATTCTCGCTTCCTATGATATAACACTTTTATAATAACGATTTAAAAGAATGCACTGATTCTATTAATTGGCACACCTGTGTTTGGTTTTTTTCTGCTAAACGATTTATCATCTCTTCAATGTTGTGTATCATGTTTTTTGTTTTCTTGTGATAGGACAGTTTATGTAGGTATTCTTCTTTCTTTGCATTGAAAATCCTATTCTGTTTTAAATGTTCATCGAGCAACCTGCTCTCTTCTTTTTTTGTTTCTTTTTCAGCCTGAAAAATCCAATATAAAAACAACATCCATGAACATAAATATAACTAATGCATTATTTAAAAGTTACCCTTCTGGCTTCTTCAAGATTTGCTTCACTATCATCAAGATATTTTTGAAGAGTCTCTAAATTGGACTCCAGCTCGTTCTTGTGAGCAGCTTTTTTTTTAACCTTCAAATTTGTTTAATTAAATTGTATTAAAATAAACAAAACAAAAATGCAAAGTTTACCTTGTTCCTTAATTGTTCCAAATTTTCAGTTAATTGCTTTCTAATTGATGTATTTTTTTCACTCCTCCCCATTTCTTTATCAACATCTTTGGCATAAGTGTTAATCGAGTTGACCATTACAAGCCAATTTTTTTTTGCTTCACTGAAAATAATAATATAACCTAGTCAGGGGTACACTTTATAGATTAGGTTTTTATTTTTGAACAAATTTCCTTGCTTTATCACATTAAAATGTGTTATTTTATGTTAGCGATGTTAATTCAAAGAGTAATGTGTTAATTTAATTGCTTTTAACTCTCACTTCATGCATTCTTATACTATACAAAACATATTTTGACTAACTCGACTTTCTCCTTGGCTACTACTAATTCCTTGTCTCGAATGGCAATACATTTTAGACTCTCGCCTATTGCCTTTTGGAGTAATTTATTTTCATCTGTTTTTGCATTGAGATCGGCTTCAGCTTTTGATAATAAGCCAGTTACACATTTAACTAAAAGTATAAAGGTTAAAATTACATTTAGACTGCAGGTTGATAAAAAATAATTGTAATGACACCATGAAGATTCAAACACTGTAGGATATATAGAGGCCTTACTTTCTTCCTGTAAACTTGAATTTCTCTGCAATGACGACTCGATTTCCCTTCCAAGTCTCATCACTTCTGCTTCAAGTTTCCAGAGCAAAAAATCCTAAAATAAAACGGAAGATATTAAATCAAGTTTACATTGCCACCTTAATGATCCACCTGTTTGAGCTTTTCATCTGTAAGTTTAGCCTTTTCTTTTCTTGCATTCTCGGATTCGGTTTTTGAAAATTTTAATGCTGCCTCTTTATTGGCTTCCATTTCTTTTAATTTATTCACCAAATCAACAATCATTTCTTTCTCTTTTCTCAATTCGTTCTCTGTTTTCAGAATTAGGATGATTTTAAGTTACTAATGTAAAGGCAACATCAAAAATGAGTCAACTTGTTACCCTGTTTTTTAGCTTTGATCACAGTCAAGAGCTGACAATGATGTTGCTGGCGACTTTCCTCAACATCTTTCTCTATTTTCATTCGTTTTTCATTAATCTGCACAAATTAGGTATTTTAATAATGTAAATTAGGAATTCGTTTGGTAGTTCTGTGATTAGATTGTCAGTGCCGAGTAAAAGTGCTAACCTCATTTGTTTTAAGTCTAAAACTTTCTATGTCTTCTTCTTGCTTTAAGACGAATCTTTCTTCTTTGTATACAAAATCAGCAATTTTTTTCGAATCTTCTCCTACAATTTTCAATTCATGATGCTAAAAGTAGACGGTTAAAATAAACTTCTGTACTAGTGTATAATAAGTTTGGAATAAAGTGCTTACAAGTCCTTGTATCTGACCAGTGAGTCTGTCAATCTGATTTAACAGATGGGTTTTCAGAATGTTTTGAAATTTATCCATCAAAGGATTGTCAACATCAAGAACTTCTGGAAAATCTTGTGGCATCTGCTGTGATAGAAGCATTCTATTCCTGTCCTCTTCTTCTTCCATGCCTGGGAGAAGCCCTCTTAGCAGTTCTTTAGTCGAATCGTGTATAAAAGATCTGTTAGGTGTTCCGTCTAGGAGAATTGATTAAGTTAGCCAAATTATCAGACATAGAAATGAAAAGTTTAATTACCATCGACTGACAAGCCTGCAACGCTCAACTTTCCAAATTGCTTCTGTATCTCTAATGCATTCAGTTGTCTTCCTAAAGGGTAAGATATAGAAACTTTGTTGTCAGAATCACTATTCTGCTCCAGTTTTATTATATTGTCAAAATATTGTTGTTTTGTAATTGATTTCTTGCCAAATATGTAAGCAGAACTGAAAACAATTGTTAAATGTGGTAACGTATATGTGAATTATTTTTGCAAACCAGGATGATCAAGCTGTAACAAGCTACAAAAAGTGTAATGAGTTTTGTGTTTTCTCACAGTCAAACATTTGGCTCTACAAACTCTGAACAATGATATGTGTATGTATGTATGTATATACATAGATGTTTGACATTTATAAAAGGCAGGAATGTCACACATTGCAGTTATTAGTTGACAAAAAGTTTGGTAAAATAAAAGGGCATTTTCCTAATATGTGTTGAGTATATGTATATTATGTTTACATTAAATTTAAAGACATTACGTTGGCCTGCTGAATTCTAAGTGTAACACAGATTCTGTAGAAGCAGATCTTTTTAGAGTCATACTTTCAGAGACTTCTGACCCACTCTGGTCGGATTTGAATCTCAAAGCCAGGCCCTCTTGTTCCTTGTGGAAAGGCCAAATTCCTTTTTCAGGTGGTAGCCCAGCAAATGAAAATCTAAAAAAAAAAATTTTTTAAAATTGACCTATGTTGTAAAAAGTAACATGAACCATGAGTCTCATTTACTTGCTCATCGACCCCCTGTACGGTGCTGAAATGTTTGACATGTGTCTTGAATCTTGAATATCGAATGTTACACTTGATTTCCTGGTTGGTGACAGTGATTTGGCTCTTCTTCCTTCAAGGATGATGTCTGGGTCTTCCAAAAATCTCACTGAAGACCTTCCATCTGCTGAAGTTCGACTGGTCTTGGTAGGAAGCCGATGTGATAACATAAGTGCATCAAAAGCTTCCTTGTCGAAATGCACATTTGACAGTTTGCTTTGTTTCTTGAATTGGAAATAAAAATAATTATACGTTCATATGTACATCATTAATGATCAGTAATTTACAGTTACAATACAATGTGTATTGTGTAATGTATTTCCAACTTTTTACTGTTTGAATAGTATTTATATATTTGAAATGAGTCAGAAACTAACTTGCTTATTAAAAGCCAAGTTAGTACTTACTACATTTATTTCAGTTTGGAAAAAGGCTGGTGTTTTTGCAAATGATGATGATTCGTATCAAAAATTTGGGCAACAGGGAGGATTCCTTCTCATTTCCGCTCTTTCAGGGGAGTTAGAGATTTTTTTCTGAGTATAGAAAATGTTATCACTATCTCATCTCAAAGCATTTTAAATCATAAGAAAACATATGCCCTTATTTATAATTACCGTTCCATCCACTTCTCTTTTCGGTGATCTCCTAGCTTTCCAATCTGACGGTTTGTAAGCTGGTGTTGTCCTTCTGTGGAATACAGTCTCACCTACAGACCCTTTGAGAGCAACCTCTTGTTTCATTACAACCTACATGATTTTTTTATATTTTTATCATTCAGTATTATTTTCACTGCGTCTTATTGTAACCCATCTTAAATCTGTTTCAACAGATCCAATAGTCCACTTAGTTAACTCAAGCAGGACACAAATTTAAACAAAAGCCTTACAAAATGTAATTTGATCTTTGTTATTCAAATATAAATCCAATTTGGTTTATTTGATTTTTATGTCATTAATGTCTCACTAGCTTTTTCTTTTTACATAATAAACTATACTTGTAAAAAAGTAATGTAGCCTACGTTGGAGTAATATGTTGTTTAAAAATTAAGAGGACGATAGTTTGCTAATGGTTGTTTAATAGTAACTTACATTTTGGCTTTTAGTGTGAGCGCTTTCCGGTGGACTACGTTCTTTTTTCTCTGGAGGTTTAACATTTGTAGCTCTTCTTTTAATACCTTTTCTTTTTTTCTCTAAATCCTCCAGTGAGAGGACAGATTTCACTACTTCTATCTAGGTTTTAAAAATTATGTTAATTGTTGATTTCAACATGTTATAGCTATTTAGCAAACTTATTTCCTACATAGTGTGTATGACATTTTCTATTTTACATTTCACATTTGTAAAAACAGCATGTAAAACGAAGCTATTTTGTGAGTTTATGCTATTTAAACAATAATTATTTAACACTTGCAATTTGGTATATTTAATAAATCCTACTAGTTATTGTTAAATACTACAATAGGAAAAAGCAATAGCGCTGTCATTAGAAGATAACTGCATACAACAAAACAGTATCCCAGTGTTTGAAATATTTATGAAAACCATAATACTTACTGGAAAATCTTTATCACTCGGTGACTTAAGTCGTACAACAGAAGTTTTGACACTATAAGAGCTTGGGTGTGGAGATTCTGAAAAGTTGAAAATAAGGTTAACACTTGATTTTTCAACATTGCCAGTAGTTAAACATATTTCTGATGAGTAAAATAATAAGTCTAATTTTAATAAGATATTCTACTGAACTTTTGTAAATATCAAATTGTATCCTGTACTGAGGTCAAACACAGATGTAAAGCAACAAGATTTGGGCCAAATAAAATTGTCGGTTCAACTTCAAATCACAAAAATATTGATTTCAAAGGGGGGAGGGAGAGAAAGAGAGAGAGAGAGAGAGTGAGAGAGNGAGTGAGAGAGAGAGAGAGAGATGGATATTACAAAATATAAATATTTATATACATATATAAAAATTGCGTAACTATAGATTATTTTTTTGTTGAACATACAAATTGTATATAAAATTAATAAAGAATGAAATAAGTGTATTTGATAGGAAATAAATAAGTAAAATAAAATAATAATTATAATAATTATTATACGTAAAAAGCTGTTAATTAATTGTTAACGATGTTTTCAAAGTTGGTTGCCGAGCCAACGATAGCCGAAAAGAACACATGTTCGGTTCGTTTATAAAATTCCAAAACTCGTATTTAAAATTTGTGAGGTTGTTAGTTCGAAAATTGATGTAATTGCACAGTTTAAATGGACTGACATACGATAGGATTGATCGATAGAATGTAGCGGGCCGATATCCGTTGAATATTCATCCTCTTCCCCGACAGTGCTTCCAACCGGTTCGTACTCCGCTGTGTTCTCTTCGTCCGCGTCGGTACTCTCTTCCATCACCGCGAATTCTCCATGCTCCTGCTCTTCCGCCTCTTGATCTTCCATGGCCAAATGTAACTAAAGGTGCCTAACGAAGAATATTAACAAAGAAAAGAACTTTAACACAAAGAGAAGGAAAACGAAAACATGTGCTGTCGCCCTGGAAACCGACGGTGCCATAGAAACGCCGGGCATCATCTTTGAATCGTTTTCAAAATAATATCAATGCTTTACATCATTCGCCTCGTTTTTAATGATAATTTACAACGTTTTTAAAAGGTATTTGTTTTATTATTTAAACTTAAGTGATTGATGTTTGTTGTATTCACGCTGGAATATTAAATCAGTATTACTTGACCACACTTTAAAATATTGCTGAACCTCCTTGAGTATGACAAAGTCAATACAATAATTATAGGGGGATTAACTGGATGGGGACTGGATTAACGACTTCAGACAGATAACAGGAAAATTCGGTCCCATACCGGGACTATCAAGACGACTTAGGAGTTAGAACGGCCATTTCCACAACTGGAAACTGTAAAGCAGAAAAATAGCGATAACAAGCGAATCGACAATCCATCAGTTACCATCGGCCAACTACCTAGTAATAGAAACGTTTTCGGTCCTCCCGATTAAATAAGTAATTTTTTCTATTATTAATTTATCTCTCTATCATGATTACCAACTTCTATCTATTCTATCGAATTTATAAAAATACTGAAAAACAATATGCAGATAAAATAATATAATTTGTAATTAAAAATCTCGAGTTATCAGACAATATAAGATCGGAGGGGTGATGGAGTAAGGTACGTAGAGTCGGTGAGGTTCCTCGGCTCACGTTTGATCAAACGCTTAGATGGGCAGGAACAAATTGAAGCCGTTGAAATGAATGGAAGTAATGTATTTATTAGCGTGAATGTGTGATGCGAGAGGGTTGATGGCAGAATACTGAGCACCTATCGAACCTTATTAAGTTAGTTGTGCGATCAACCAGCTTTCATACGATGTTGATTGGGATTCTGGTTGTGGTCTTCAAACATACAATGTTATTATATCAACGCCCAAGCTTTCGACAAGTTTTATTGCCTTCTTCAGGGGATCTACAGAGACATAGGGACATAATCATTTAGACAGTTATAAATTGTATAAATAGTTATAAAATATCAGTTTTTTGTTACTTACAGAAACAAACTTTTTATAACTATTTATACAATTTATAACTGTCTAAATGATTGTCCCTATGTCTCTGTAGATCCCCTGAAGAAGGCAATAAAACTTGTCGAAAGCTTGGGCGTTGATATAATAACATTGTATGTTTGAAGACCACAACCAGAATCCCAATCAACATCTTATTAAGTTAGTTATATAATATGTGTATAGCGTGATAGAGGAATATCGTGTACTCCATCACCCAATTGAAAGAATGGTGTAAATATGAGTGAATATATTTAAGAGAACGTGAAGTACGCATGGGTTTGGAACTGCATGCGTTGGGTGCTAGGTTTGACCTGCCGTTGCCTTGACGGCCTATTACAGGATTAAAATTTAAAACGGCGTTTTGCTTAAAATTAGCGGTAATAAGGAGACCCCCATGGCTTATCAATTATCGAAACATTGTCATAACTTATTTATAAGACCATCGTTCTAACTCAATAAGTGCTGATTGATTTCGTACGACCGGGGATCGTTTGAAACAGCGTGATGCCATAAAACAAGCCCGCCCCAAGTAATTTAATCACTACCACCTGTTTTTTAAGTAATTGAAACATTTATGTTCAATTTAGCCTGCGAAGGTCTAATTAATTAGGTCCTTTCCTGTGATAATTCTTAGTTTATTTTTCTTTTTTGAAACTTTGCCCATGCCGAGTTTTTTAGTTGCTGTAGAATTTGTAGGTATAACAACTTAAAACACAATTGTCACCTAAATTTTATACTTATGTAAACAAATATTCTAACCAGTCCTTTAACTCCTTTAACTATACATTTTGAATTTTTGTGATTATGAGGTTGTAATTAAAGGTAATTTGAGGACATTATCGGAGACCCCACATATAAAAATATACACAACATAAAGTTAAAAGAATGGATAATCTTTAGATCTAAAACTCCTACAGTATCAACGGATGTGAGAATGGATCATCGTAATTGAAATGGTGAATGACGGAGTGAGTGCGGTGTTCAATCATTTTTTAAAAAAGACAGTTCCTACTCACAATAAGTTGTTTTCCACCGATCCGGATTTCGAGCCTTTAGCTCATCGTCAGGTCTAACATAACAATTTTTATTTCAGAGTAATAGGTAATTGAATATAAACTATTTTTTCAAATGAGACATACCAAGTTTTAATAAATTTTCAATAATAATTAGTATAAAAAAAGACACCAAGAATAATTAGATTGGTTGCGTATTTCTAGTAAAAGTTCAGCATGAAATACCCCAATTTGAAGTGAAATATCTTTCGATTCGGCCTCTCTTTTAATTTATTTTTATATGAACTTATAGGAGGTTTTTAATTAGAACAGCGAAACCCTCGGTTTGGTGCTTTCCGATCAACCGGCACTGCCTATTCTCGCTTCTTTTTTTCTGTCTGACGATTTCGACATCTTAAGTGAAAGGTTTGTGAGTTATTTCATTTAGTCGAACCCACTTACGACGAACATATTAGAAAACTTTACAAGACAAAACATTGACGAAATCCTCTAGGCAAAAACAGTGTGTATACACATCGAACAAACGGACAGGAGAATAAACGACATGTTAGATCGTTTATGGACAAAGATAGAAAATCAATCTGTACTACTGCTTCACACAAAAGGACCACGAACCCTCAACCATGCGTGCGGTCTTAAAATTGCACTGGGACGTACGTACCTACACAAAATTCGAAAAATGGACACACCCGCACATCTAGAATGATGGTCACTCACACACATGATTTACGCCATTATTCTATATAAAAACAAACAATCGAAGAAAAACAATAATCGAACAACGAACTCTAGACTCTACTCGATAAAGTCGCCGTCAACGATAACTTCGACACATCCTACTTTTCCACCTTTTAAGATAATGGGAATTGGAAAAAAACCGGACCAAAATGATCGGAAAGGACCAGATTCTACAGGTTCATCACCCGGCAGACCTTAAGAAAAACATCGCAACCAAACATTATGTCAGTTTTTTCGGATCACCTTCTAGGTCTAAATGACGAAAAACGACCAAGTCTTAAAATGTGAACGATTCGGTGGATTTTATAGCCGAATTGTCAAAATGGCACAAATCCTAGAAGTTCGAAATTTTCACCGCCACATACTGGAAACGTTTTAAATATAACAAATCTTCGGTAGGAGGAGGAAAATTGAAAACGTTTAGGGGCTGGAGTTTGGCGTCTGGGTGTGAGTTGCACTTTCCAGCCACTAGAGCTCTCAGTTTGTCCCTGGTGGGACCCTCCGTTAAAGTCTCCGACGTCCCAACTCCCAACTCCCAGTATCAGTTCAGCTTTCGAGTGGTGACTGTGTTTCAGTGCTTTCTCTTAACTCACGACGTATCAATTGGGATACCTATAAGTTGAGTGAGTACCGTCCCATATATATTTATATATAAAGTTATTTCTTTCTTCATATTTCGTCCTTATCTTTGAGTTGTATTGCAAAAATGAAAATCGATATTGTAATTGAATTTTTTGTTAGCTTCGATCTTTAAAAACCCTGACATTCTTTGTTATATGTTTAGTACATTTTTACTTAAATGTACTTTTATAGTTTCTTGCAGTTTTCCTTTTATGATGCATTTTTATGATTTATTTGAATGCAAAAAATTGATCGGCAATGATATATTGATGCCAATTATCTTACAGTACGACCATACAATGAAACTCATTTTCTATTAAACACCCAACTGTGCTAAAATTCTTTTTATTTTTACATTATTAAACGTGTTGTTTGTTATTCCTTCGTTTAGTCTCTTGAACAAATTATTGATAAAAATGACCTGTCACATTACGTCGATATTGTATTATAATTTCTGTAACATCAAAAAGGTATTTTTTATTTTGGGATTGTTTGGTACTATGGTCATATTTGAACTTATCTCCTTTTAGACTCTATCAAATTCAAATTTTCTATTGTTGAAAAGATTCTACGCTTCAAAAATGACCTTTATCAAATTCAATTTTTTTTATTGTTGAAAAGATAGCGCGCTATAAAAATGACATTTTACCTTTTAATTTGTAACTGAAGATGTAAGTTTAGTGTGTGTAAATTGGATCTGTTTTCCGTTTGTTTGATTTGGGTTTTGAATGCAATTTATTCACCGGACACACTTCTATGTGCACCGTGACACACGTCGATGGAATCGTTATTATGTAATAATTAAAGAAGCCGAATGAAATAGTTATTTATAAAATTATTATTATTATTAAAATTGTAACGAACACGGTTTTGGTCGTTATTTATTCAATTACTTAGTACTCAACACCACTCCATTCTGTGTTTAATTCTTTTTCGTTTACATTTATGATAACATTTTAAAGCTCTTACAGCCAAAAACATAAAACGACTGGTTTCCAGAATATTCATTCCGACTGTAATTACGAAAGTCCGAAATTTTTAGACGATTTTCATCAAATCAGATAATATTTGAAATTTAATTAAAGCGACATTTTAGACCTTTAACATATTTTAATAACATAGCAAAAAATTAATTTGCCGGATGAAGCTATAAACAAACACACTCACTTTCCCTCTCGTTCCCCCTCCTCATTCTCCTCCACTCTCAACCACTCACACCCTCTCACATACTCGCGCTGAACTCAGAAAATAATCGCTCGAAAAGTTAAAAAATATGCTGAATACCTAAATCGACAGTATGAAAAATGAGTCGGCTCCGTGCTCTCGTTAATTTTATTTTTTATTATTAATCTTTTTCAAATGTAATCAGACACTTAGTGATATTAATTAATAATTATTTGGAGATCGTGAGATGCGGTCTGGTGTGACATAGTTTAGAAAAACATTTTCTTTATCGTGCCAACATTTCGATCTTTATTGAGATCATCTTCAGGGCTCAAAGTGTTTGTTTTCTGTGTAGATGTGTCATTATTGTGTGTCGTGTTGAGAAGTGCCGTCAGAACGAAGCAGGGCACTCTCAACACGAAGATGATCTCAGTAAAGATCGAAACGTTGGCACGATAAAGAAAATGTTTTTCTAAACCTACGGTCACACCGACCGCATTTCACGTCTCCAAATAATCATTAACTAACGGTCACTTACCACCACACATTAATTAGTAAGTTCGATTTATTTTATAGCTGAAAATTCTATTTTTAAACTAAAACATCAAGTTTATTATATAAGATATTTAGGACTCTGTGCTTTATTATAAAAGTTATAAAATAATAATGTAACAAATTTTTTAGTAATAACATTGTGTCAATTTTGGTATATAATAAACTTCTTCATGTTTTAGAAATAAAGATGGTTGAAAAATAGCTTTATAAAATGTGTTAGTTTTCAGTGTTAAAAGAATTTAAAAAAAATTCAATTTTTCGAAATTTTTGTTGAGGCCTCTCATTGCAATTGGGATAAAGATGTACTAAAAAACCTTTTTATCTCTTCTTGACGACCGGTTTTAGAGTATATTCTCTATCTTCAGGTTTACAATCAACAAGATACTCTACCTTAACATCATATTTACAATCTTTTCTATTTTTCACTGTAGATATCATTTTTTATATAACTCGATCATATTTTCTCTAAATTTCTTTCAAATATTTCGTGAGATAATTTCGTTTTTACAGGTTTCTTTTTGAAACTCGAACTTTGATGAGCGATGGTATTTATCATATAATCCGCTTCCTTGTTGGTTATCTCAAGCTATTGACTTATTATTTTCGTGATGATATTTGACGACGTTTCTAGCAGAATTTAAACATTTTTTTTCGATGATTGATTTGGACAAATATCGAACAAAAGACAGTCAACTAAAAGAAAGAAAAAGGGTGGTCATTTAAACATTTTTCTTTGTGTTAACTTTTATATTTCATATGTTTCTTTCAATCAAGCACTGTCTATTTATTATTGGTTTGAAGGAATTTTACGTTTTCAATCGGATCGAGATGATTTTATATATTTTTTTGGTGAGAGGGAAATTTGAATAAAATCATTCACACAAAGCTTGCTAATTCTCCCCCCCCCCATTAAATAAAAAATCTTTATTATGTACTTACTTAACTAACAGATCTAAGATAAAGTTAAATCTTTTCTAACTCACTACAATCACTGTAATGCGCAATTTATGAAACGATCGAATTTATATCGAACGACACAAACGTACGTAATCGATGATAATTCACGTAATACGTACAAAACGTTTGTATGTTCAATAAGGTAACAATCGGAAATTTTATGATGTGGACGACTTCGGAGACATTGGAAACCCAGGGACACTCTGCTTTATTACGGGTAATTTTGTGTAATATACGGTTTAAAAACCATTTTCTCAGCATGGCGAACTCGCCTAATACGAGAACAACGGGAAAACCAAATATTTTCCCTTAAAGGAAAGGAAACATTTATTCCGACGAGAAGATCGGTAAAGGTTCTTTGGAGGGTAGACAGTGTCTCTCTCTCTCTCTCTCTCAAAATACACATAGGCACAAGAGGTCGTTTATCGGAAAAACGTTTTCCTGACCTCCCCCCTGTGTTATTGTTGATTGAAAAAACAGTTTCTAGTACATTCCTATCCTGAGGCGAAGACGAGATTAAATACGTTCAGATGAAGACAAGAAGATGAGACAAAACGTTTTAGTTCCTAAATGTTCCTCCAATCAAGATTCATTGATTAGGCTTAAAAAAATTAATCCATATTTTTTAGTGGTCATTATTGACTATATTAACTATTTTTTTTATCTAAGGTTTTTGGCTAAGATGAAAAATTATTATTATTCGAACCCACGACCTTCGGCTCAACACGCCGCTGCTCTAACCACGTGTAGCACGATAGCTCAAGTGGTTAGAGCAGCGGCGTATTTAGCCGAAGGTCATGGGTTCGAATCCCGCTCGTGACACTAATTTTTCATCTCAACCAAAAACCTTAGATAAAAAGAATAATTAATTTAAATAAAATCATGTACAAATTAAAAAAAATTGATTCGGCCTTTTTATCGATTCGTTAATTCCTCCTTCATTAAGATTTTATTCAACTTGTAAACATTATTTACACTTTAAAACTTATTTGAGTTAAAATAATCGATTGCGTGTAGTAAAATCTCATTGCCTCTCACCCCTTGCGCGGTAGTGGAGAGTTGATCGCGACAAAATGGCCCGACCAAATTATCGGTAAAATAATCAATGAATTTCCCGGCAAGTTTCTCAATAAGGAGCGGACTGGGCAAAGGTACGATCCGGCGTTTAGCAACATCGGACTGCTTTTAAAAATGGGAATAATTTCAATAAATCACTTTTAAATCAGAGGCCAACAGGACAGCCTTTCATTAGGCAAAGAGAAAATATACTTGGTAAATATGGTGAAAAAAAGCATCCGTCGGCTCTTTCGTCACAGAGAGAGCTCTGAAATCTCCACTCGAATTTAGAAATAGAACCAGTTTAGAAACTTGTTGAGTCTTTGTTTCATTATGTTCCGTTGCGGTTTCCAGCTAAATTACGATTAATTTTTTTTAATAAATAGAAAAATGTAATATGCATTGAAAAGATCTATGATATATCGTTAAAATACTAAGTCCTGTGACCAGCACGTTACAAAAAATTAACAAAAGGTTGGGCATAAATAAAATAATTAGAACGGTATTTCCACGTTTCTAGGAGGAAAGCAAGTGGTATAACCTAAAAGACATCTCATGGGCTTTTAAATGAGTTAGGCTGCATCTGATTAAATAAAGGCCAAAGGTGAGACAAAAAGGAACCCGGCTGAAAGGTGAAAGAAAAATAATGATTTAAATTTATTTAAATACTCGAACAGGCATGGTACGGCATCCGGGAACTTGAAATATTCTAATTTCCCTGGTGGCGTCATAATAGAGGGAATTCTTATCGAGCGACGCCAAATGTACATTTTTTGAACTGAGGCGAATTGAAGGAAATTAAAGGATGTGAAAACAATTGAATTAAATCATCGGTCGGGATATTACATTTTGACAGATGGCTAAATATTTTATTTATACTACTTTTACATAATTAAGTTCTAACTTGCTTTGAATACCTTAAACATGAAGGTATAATAACCCGTTTATTATCGGTTTTCATGTCACAAATTTTAATTAAACAACTGTGGTAATATTAAAATACACAGGAAAAGAAACCTGTAGACCGGTGATTCTTAACCACTGTGCCACAAACCACACAAAATTCTTAAAGTGTGCCGCCAAATTTGAAAAACGTATATAGTAAAAATTATATATAATCTTATTTGTGTGAATTCGGATTTTCAGTATTAACCAACATAAAAACGAAAAAAAAATCTAGACTGTTAAATGTAGAAGAGTATTCTTATTATGAACTTGTAATTAATCCCTTAATAAACGTACTGTTGTTTATTATTATTATAGTACATAT